GGCCATGTTACTATCCTTGTCCATCTGAGACGGTCTCTAACAAAGAGAGGCATTTAGGTTTGGTCCATGGGGACCAATGCAAGGCGGCATTTCTCCAGATCCTCTGTCCCGACGTTGGAGCTTTAACCCATGGATTCGTGATCAGTTCAAGATATTGAACCACACTTCAACATCCGAGGGGTCGGTGTGAAGAATATGACATATGCACGGAGAACAGTGATTGGCAGCGGGGAAGCAGATGCAGTGGCAACCCCTGCCGGGACCGTGCAGGTGGTTCTGATTCTCCTTCGTCAAGTAAAACGTTCTGTGTCTCAAGACTAAACTGAATTGTATAATATTTTGAGCCTGGGTGGTCTCCCATTGGGTGATTTTCCGGACAGGCAAAACGTGGAGCTTGCCAACATCCACTATTGAGGACCCGGGCAGATCGTTGACGATCAATTTGCCAGATCGATTGGCGTTCGTACGAACCGGTACTCCACGGATGCCCTAGCCATTGGTCCGAGTCATGAGGGGCTGGACACTAGTCCAGACACCATCTGTCTTAGCGTATTCGGTTCAAGTTGAGTCCGGAGAAGCGTTCCCAGTAAGATGGATGGGGTCGATAGTGTTGGATCCCAGTCGGGTCCCAGGCACATGATGCGATGATCCTCCGAAGCTCACATGGGATATCCAATATTCCAGTACGGAGTCAGGGTAAGGTTTCGAATCTCCAACGGCTTCCTTTCACTTTGGGAAGATTCACCGGGTGCAGAACCACAAACTGTCTTGTGTGGGAATCCCGAAATGATCGGCGACCACGAGGAGGGATCTAAGCCCAACTCCGCGGGTGAGAGAAGCTAGACACGGGGCTTATCAAGGCTAGGCGATGTCTCCCATCTGACCGTTCTGGGTCTCTGGATCTCGGCTTCCTTCCGGCTCTTGATGCCGGTGAATCCATACCGGAATGGAACAGATCGAACTGTAGAGAGAGAGAGAGAAAGAAAAAGTAATACAGTAGTTTGTTGTCAGAGATGATCCATCCATTTCGGATGCTGGTATTGCTTTGTTAGGATGCGCCAAGCACTCGACTGGGCATAGTGAAGCAGATGTCAGTGAATGCCCTCAAGGGATCGTCGTAGATCCACATTAATAACCACGTCAAGGATGAGCTTCATATCGTCATGCGAATCTGGATGATCGACGGGGGGGTGTTTGACAAGGCAAAAGAGACTGGCTCTAACAAACACCTCTATATTTGCTCCTCCCCGGCTCTCTCCACTCCCTTATTTCCTCCCCATACTTATATTCCTGTCTCGCCCGTTTCCTATCTCTTTTTATTTTTTATTTTTTTGGCTTTCGCTGATCATTGATCTTCTTCTAATTCTTATCCTTAACTCTTCTTTCCTACCCTTCCCCTCCCCTAACCCCTTTGATTGGACAGTGAGTTTCTGTCCTCTGAGGATGAAGACTTCGATTTCGTCGGATGTATGGGAGAAGAAAAAGGCGTTGATTGCAAAGTTGTATATGGAAGAGGAATGGCCGTTGAAGCAGGTCATCAAGCAGATCCGGTCCGATGATTTCAATCCAAGGTGCGTTTGATACATTCGTCTTCACCTGGCAGGGTTGTCCTAACATCTTCTCTCAGTGAAACCCAACTACGAAGCAGACTGAAGAAATGGCGAGTCACCAAGCCGTCTCGTCAAACTCGCAAGAAGACTCAGGCCTCCAGTTCAAGCGCCGAGCCAGACTCAGACAGAGACGTGACCCGGAAGCCGTCTATCCAACGACCACTACCAAGAGATCCCCCAAGAGCTCGCCATGACTGGCCTGGAGCTCAGTCTATCTACACCCCCGTCTCAGAGGATCCACCTCACAGCAAATGGAACTCGCATCTCGCTCAGCAGCTCACCCCAAGCCCGTCGGGCGAACATGCCCTTGTCTCGGATCGCTCGGCAGTCCACTCCCACTCCTACCCAGACCTCAGCCCAACCACAACATCCTTTGACCACGCTCACGCCTCCCCAGTGGGCGAGGCTCTCATGGTCAACACCACTTCCGCCGTGGCCCCGTCTTACCCTGCCGGATCCGCCTACCCTCTGTCTCCGGAATCATGTCTGCCCAGCCCTGGTGGCACTGCAAACACTACTCCCGGTGGCATTGCCTGGCCTCCTCGTGCTGCGTCTGCCGATTACGGCCTCAACCCAGCTCAGTGGTACCAACTGCCCTTCGAGGCCATCACTCCTCCCAACGGCGTCGCCCAGTCCACTGCCCCCATGGCTCCTTCATTAGCTGGGTACCTCCCGCCTATCTCGGGTCATGTCTACCAACCCCAGTACTCCAATTACCAGGGCGAGGCATCTGAGTACCACCATGGCTATGGCGACAAGAATTGGAAACGTGCCATGTCGTTGCAGTATGACATGGGTGGACACCCAGCCCTTGGCCGGGCTGAGCATGTAGAGAGGAAGCTGATTCATCATGGTCAGCCTCAGACAGTGATGTCTCCTTCTCATACGCAGTCTGGTCCGCAGTCCGTGATGTGTGCTCCCATACCTTATATGGGTCAAGATCACTACCAGAAGCCCCCTGGCATTGGCTATTAGGGATACGGCTTGACATTTTCCTTTCTTATATTATTAAATACTTGTGATACCTTTTGATTTGAATATGTGAAATATGGGTGGTTTTGTTTTGTTTTGTCATACCCGGTATTGTTGCTTTTGGGTGTTTATTTGTCAAATAGTCTGGGGGGCGTTGAACAGGAACTGTATATATTGATACCTCTGAATCCAATGTTCTGTACTCTACATATACAGTGTCTGAGTATCTGAGTATATATGTCATCGGTGTTCTCTCCTTAGCCGCCAAGCGCCTCAGTTATCCGAGAAGCAACCTCGGCATCTTTCACGCGGGGAAAACCCGAGCTCTTTTCTGCAGCTCTTCTTCTCAATTATATCTGAATTGTTCTTTCTTCAACCATTCCATCATAAAATTAAAAGACATCAATCTCAAGTCTCCATCAATACTAAGAACAGACTCAAAATGCGTGCCGTCCAAGTCAGCGAATACGTCAAGGTACCAACTGGCAACCACCTACCTCCCAACCCATCTACAACCAACAAACCAAACTAACCTGTTCACAGGGCCCCCTGGACCTAAAAGTAACCGACGTCCCAACCCCAACCCCAGCAACAGACAAATACCTAATCGAAATCCACTCGGCGGGCACAAACTTCTTCGATATCCTCCAAATCCAAGGCAAATACCAACACCAACCACCACTCCCGTGGATCGGCGGCGCCGAATTCGCCGGCACAATCACCGCCATCCCAATCTCCTCCAAGAACCCGCGCTTCAAAGTCGGCGACCGCGTCTTCGGCGCCACACAGGGCGCCTACGCAACCCACGTTCTCGCACCCGAGCACACCCTCCTCCCCGTGCCAGCCGGATGGAGTTTCGAAGATGCGGCCGGCTTGTTCGTTACGGCGCCAACTTCCTATGGAGGTCTTGTTCACCGGGCTGGGGTGAAGGCTGGTGATTGGGTTCTTGTTCATGCCGCTGCTGGTGGTGTGGGACTTGCTGCTGTGCAGATTGCCAAGGCTATGGGCGCGACTGTTGTTGCTACTGCTGGGACGGAGAGAAAGAGGCAGATTGCGCGGGAGTTTGGGGCGGATTATGTGGTTGATTATGGGAATAGGGATTGGCCGGAGGAGGTGAAGAAGTTGTGTAAGGAGAAGAGGAGTGGCAATGGGGCTGCGGGTGTGGATATTGTTTATGATCCTGTTGGGATGATCGAGGCCAGTTTGAAGTGCGTTGCTTGGAATGCGCGGTTGTTGGTTATTGGGTTTGCGGCTGGGAAGATTGAGAAGGTTGCGTTGAACCGGGTGCTGTTGAAGAATGTTAGCTTGGTTGGGCTGCATTGGGGGCAGTATGCCAAGTTTGAGACTGGCACTGTTGGTGACGTTTGGAATGGGATCTTTGATCTTGTTGCTCAGGGGAAGTTTAGGGGCACTGCGTTCAAGGATGAGAGCTTTGTTGGGCTGGAGAGTGTGCCCAAGGCCTTGCAGGCGCTTGGCGGTCGGGAGACTTGGGGTAAGGTTGTTGTCAACGTTGTTGGCAACGAGAAGGCGAAGAGCAGACTATGAGGTCTACATGATGGGCTGAAGATGTACTGAGAAGCAATAGATTTCATTTCATGGTATATGAATGTAGTGCGCAAGGAGTCATGCTCTCGTAGACAAAGTTAACCCAGAAGGGAAGACTCGAGCAAGTATAACATGAACTATGAAGGCCCTTTATTGCTCTGGCAACTGATGAATTTCAAGTGAGCGCGAGATCCTCGAAAGAAACCCGGCTCGCAATCCAGCTCCAGTCGGTCGCGGCCACAAGACGTGACGCTGCGGTGACTGTCCTCCAGAGAGGGTCCTTGAATATATCCTGGTATGGACTGGGACAGCTGGATTGAGAAGTTGCGAATGGCAGATCTTGTCTGGCGTAGATGTGAGACGGCGTATTGGAGGTCATTGAAAGGTTAACTGTGTTATCTGGAGCTGTTAGTGTTGAACGGGGTTATTATTCGACAGATGCCCTCAGAATACACATTAGATTCTGTAGAGACGTTGTCTTACGCGGAAAAAGTTGGGTGAGTGAAGGAAGAAAAAAAAAATAGAAAATAGAACAGCGCGGGCTGTCAGCCTGCTGAGTCAGCCCAGCCACTTTCCCAATTGTCGGATTGGATCTATAGGATTGTACCAGAGCATACATCAACTTCCAGTCAATGGCATGATCACTCGGTTTACATGAAACTTATAGCTTATCCACACATCAATTAATTTACAGAAGATTCCGGGTCGAAACACGAGCTGAAACCACAACTATGAAGGATCCAGATTTCCCTAACATGAAACAAATAAGATATAGAAAAGTAACCGTAACATCATGACTCAATCATATCGTAAGTTAGTATCTCATTAGCGATATTTCGTGATTCGCATAGCAGATCAATCACTCGTGGACCCTCAATGATGACGCTCACGCATCTCGACAACAGTAGTCCATCCCTCACAGCAAGATCGGCTCATGTTGTGGCCACACCAACAGCAAGTCACTTTGTGAGGCAAGAGAGGAGCTGGGCGCAAATCAGACATACCCTGGGAGCTACGGGAGATAGAAAGGTTGCCGAATTGTCGCGAGCCAGAGAGTCGCCGGCTACCAGTGTGGTCTGGGATGAGGACATTGGATTTCTTTGAATGGGATCGACCAAGCTTTGACTCTGTGCCGAGACGTTCTGGACAGGCAAGTCGGGCATAGACCTCGGAGGGCATATCTTGCCAGTATTTGCAGCGGCAGCAGATGACGAAGATTTTGGCGATGGTTTGGGGTTTCCGTGGGCTTTTATTCTTTTGGGATCTTCTTTTAAGAATACTTATAGGGCCGTTTCGGAGTGGAGGAGTATCAGGTTGGCTGCCAGGTTGGGGCATTCGACTAGCAGGAAGGTCTTGTGTAGTTGCCTCCGCAGTGGCCTCAGGCTTAGTCTCCACACGAGTCAGCGAGTTAAGGTGTAATTCAGGAGACTCAGGTGTATCTTCGTCCGCAGTATCATAATTCGAATGTTCATCATGGGAAGAAGTGTAGGACGGTGTGCGGTTGTGCCCTGGAAAGAATCCTCCGGGTCCCCTGCGCTTATCCTGGTTCCCTGAGGTATCATTCGAATTGTAAGAGGTTCGACGGGGAGATCTCGCAGGAACAGAGTACGACCCATCTGCCAAGTTTGTCGATGTTCGTCTGTTCTCCTTGTTGGTGGATGGATGAGATTGCTCATCAGGCGAAGAATTTCCCGTGTGGAAAGGAGATCGAACAGCCACTTTAAAAGGAGCTGGATCGTCTCTCGGTGTATGTGGTAAAACATTATCGGTTGAAGCAGTTGATTGCCTCCAGCTGTCTTGGCTTCGCCTTTCACTTTTGATAGGTATCTGTGGCGGTTCAGGTGAATCTGGGCCCTCGTGAAAATTTTCCTTGAATCGACTCTGCTGAATAGGACCAGAAGACGTAGGCAAGCGACTTCTCCCTCGATTGTCATCAGGCTGAAGAGGATGTCGAGCTAGCTGCGATGCGTTCGCATGGAGACTTGGCATTGTCGATGCCTTCGGGATCCTAGAATTTCTCTGAGCCACGTCATCTGTGTTTGCGGGGTTCAAAGCAAGAGGGGAAGATTTGTAGATCTTTGGTTGGGTATGCGAGTTAGGTTCCAATCGACCTGGTTTGACAAGGTCCCCTGTAGAGTTTGCGTGCGCCAGTTGGAGGGGATGATAGGTTGATGCAGCAGGTGAACTCGATGCATACTCTAGAGTTTCTGGAGGGGGTATTGCTTGCAGCTGCCGCGCTGTGGAAACTTTGAGAGTAGGCAATCCATGCTGAAGAAGATCAGCTTGCGTTGAGGTTTTTGATGTTGGCATGGTGGTAGCCCTGTACGAGCCATCGTTCCGAGTGAGACGCTCAAGGGAGTAGTCCGTCACTGGTACACTCTTCCGATCATGTTTAAGCACCGCAGAGAACTGCTCACGATCTAAATCACGCGGGAGAGTATTTGTCTCGCTGCCTTGAGCACCGTGTGGGGATTTGGGCAAGCCACTGACATTGCCCTGTGTCTGCTCAGGCATTAGCGGGTTTGGGACATTCTCATCATTCTTTGTCTTCCATGCCTCGGCCATTTTCCAACTCTCGCGAAGATCATCAGACTTGGCTGCCGAATGCAAGGCCAACCGGCGTTGCATTGAATTTGTCGAGTTCGTTGGGTTCTGCTTTTGCTGGTTGGTGGATAGATTCAGTGAAGTGCCGTGTTTGGAAGCCAGCTCTCGTGTAATGGCTGTACCAAACCTTTCTGGCAGAGTCAGAGGGAGAGATGGGGGGCTAGTATCTGTCCGAAGCTGGCTGGCGTCGGCAGACTGGAAGTCGGCGTCACTCGCATTGGAGTTTGAACGAGAACGTCTAAACAGCGAAGAGAAGCCGCTGGAAGATCGGGGCCGTTCCCTGTTTGCGCTAGAAGATCTGCTCGAGGTGCTGACGGGTTGCTTCTTGGTCAGTCGACGGGAGTTTCTGTCGTAGATTCCATGGTCTGCATTGAGTTGGGCTTCCTCGAGGGCTTGCAAACGCTTCTCAAGTTCCTTTCTCTCAGCCTCCAATCTCCTTGTGACACGCTTTTCCTTTTTGCTTGTATCCCACGTCGGAGATTTACAGATCTTGGCTCCATCGTTGGGATTGTTAATGGCCAGCGGTGTCATTGGCTGGGTTGGGGTATCATCCTCAGGGACTCCAACCGGTGCAACTGATGGGCTAGAGCCAGGTGTGCCAGTAGAGGGCAAACGAGAGTGCATAGAAGAGTAGGAAACTGAACTTGGCCCAGTTTCATCCTTCAAAGAGCGCCTGGTCCAGGAATGGTCGCTTGCTGCCTTGTTGTGCGCAAACGCTTCGCGGCGCGCAGCTGGAGACACAAGGTCGCCATGAGAACTGTATCGTTTCTTGGGGGTGTCAAATCATATTCTCAATATTTGCTATGCTGTACTTACCTCCTGGGACTTGTTAAACACACGGTTGAGATGCCCAGTAATTGATGATCGACGCGACCGACGGGGCTGCTCCGACATTCTGGCTTGACGCGACCGAGTGGTTAATGAAAGAAAGCAAAGGACATTAAATCGCTGATAGAGCGGCTCAAGAAGAGGCAAACCGCGAGGATGTTGCGGGGACCGGTGAGCAGAGAAGTGAAAGGTTGTGCGATATGCGAAAAAGAACGAGAGACAAAGACCCGAAGGCCATACGAGCAGAGAAAGAGGAAAAGAAAAAGAGACACGTTAAGTCTTGAATCGAGAGAAATTCTAAAATCCGCCACTATGTTGCATTGGTCACAGCATCTGAAACCTGCAGGCCTATTCTTAGCTTCAGATTTGATATCTCACACAGGCACACAGTGTATACAGTAAGTATATTGACGCTGATACACTGTTGGCTTCTATCTACATGCTACCTAAGGAGGTATACAAAAATCAATAAGCATGTCAAAATCCAGAAATTTACAATGCTTGTAATCTACACCGCATACTCGGACAAAGAAGAGGCAGTCAAGTTGGAAATGCATCAGTCTATCTGAGATTCAAAGAGAACTTGGATCAAAATATCGGACGTCCAACGTTAAAACTCTTGCGCCCCCAAGCTTGGCATTCTCACCTCTCACCTTCCAAAGCCAACTGAGCTTTGTACTCCCCCCAGACGAAAATCAAGATCTCCAGATCTCCCCACAAAACAAGGCTACCAGCCACATCTGCAGTCATGAACCCCTTCAGAAGAAAGACCGATCTACCGCCAAGCTATGATGCATCACAGTCGATCTCCGGCCAGCCACAGTTCCAGCCGCAGTCTCAGTATCAGAGGCAGGCAGAAGTCAACCCACCACCCTACCACAACTGGCAAGAGGCAGTCCCAGACACCGCCACATTCCCACCACCACCAATAACAGGCTACCTCATCTCGGGCACCGGCAACGCCTCAGAAGACGACGCCCAAAGAGCCCATGACTTCTGCGACAACGTGCCTCTTTGGTTGCCTACCCAGCCTTCAAATGCTGTCTACAGTGATGTCCAAGCACACGATCTGAGACCAGTTCATCCACGCGAACTGCGCGGTCAGGTTACTGCCACCGCGCGCGGACGCTGGAGCGGCCAGAGTGCGGACCGGAATGGGGATTGTGTGATTATGACGCAGTTACCGATGTACTTTCCTACCATGGATTCGCCGTTTGTGCGGGAGCAGAGAAAAACGATTTACTTTGAGGTTAAGGTGTTGGCGTTTAGGGCTGGGCCTGCCGGTAATGGTGATGATAGCGGGATTTCTATTGGGTATGCGGCTCAGCCTTATCCTTCTTGGAGATCACCTGGTTGGGAACGAGGTGGATTGGGAGTGTTCTCTGACGATGGATGTCGGTTTGTTAATGATTCGTTTGGGGGCCGGGATTTCACCAGTGCGTTTAGGGTTGGTGAGACTGTTGGGATTGGGATGGTGTTTTCTCTTCCAGATGATCTAAATATCGGGGCAGGTGACAAAAAGATGACTTGCAAGGTGGAAATCTTCTTTACTCGAAATGGGCAGAGGGCCGGGGGCTGGAATCTACATGAAGAGGTTGATGCAGATTCTGGGGGCGTCGAAGGTCTGGAAGGCGATTACGACCTGTACGGAGCGATTGGGTTGTTCGGTGGCGTCGATTTCGAATCTTGTTTTAACCCTGCAGGCTGGCTATACAAACCTGCCGAGTAAACAGTTGCTAGATGCAGGTTTAGTCCAGATCGCTCATCTTGCCAAGCTGGAGTAAGAGGTTACGATCCGATCCGGTAGGGCTGAAACTGGAATTTTATATGGGATATTGCTATTTTTGCTTAGTATCAATCTATCAGAAACACAGCCCAAGAACCATCCGTAATGAGTATCACAAGGATTCTATTAAAAGAAACAAGACAGACGTCCAAAGCCCAGAACAGCAAGATGGATTGCCTGATTGAAGCCTAGGGCTTAAGACATTGCACACAGCCTATTTCAACGGCCAACGCCGAGTCTCCAGACGCACCTGCATATGGCGTAAACGAGTTCTGCACGAGCATGGGTTCTAGAACGGTATTTTTTTTTCTTTTCTTTTCTCGGCCAACACATCAGGATTCCTGGTCACCGCGCGCATTAGTGCCGGGGGGAAGCACGAGGTGCATGCCGCTGCGACTATGGCCATCGCTACGCTTAGGGCAATGGGAAGAAGCCTGCATCTCCTGCCGCTTTTCCGTAGGCCCCAGTCACTTCGTGCATCGATGCATGAACGAGCCGGAATTGTGGCTTGACGTCATGAGATGCCTGCCGAGCGCATTGCGATCTTTGGCGTTATGCATATTTTGTAGTCAATTAGGAGGTGCATGTATACGAGGTGTTGCGCGGAGGGCTTGAACTTGGATGGTATTGTTAGGGCTATATACCCTCCTTCTCAATATATTGTGCAGGAGAACCATCACGAATTTTGGGTCTAGAGGCTGAGCTACTACAGTAAATTAATGTAAGATAGATTATAGTTATATATTATATTATATTATATTATATGTTTTCTATTTTACTAATTCATTTGCCTCGGGATGGAGGATGGGGGTCGGAGCGCGCACAGATAAGCGTAAGCGATAGATAGTACGCGTACCTCAAGAGCCGCAACATCGGGTCCAAGTTCGCTACATGACTCAGGAGAGAACTAGTACGGCTGACATGATTAATGAGACGGGTTAAACATACGTTAATGTGTAAAAAAGTCTTAAGTTAGTAAGTGTAGTGTAGTGTAGTGGTGTGGTGTGTGTAGTGTACCGGACATAAGTGTCCTTTGTTCTCCGGGTGAATACAGTAATTTAGTTACCAGTGGAGCCAAAGTCGGTGATTATCCCGGGGCTAAAGCGATGGTTGCAGTAGGATGGAGCCACCGCAGCCATAGCTGCAGCTAAACCCGCCAGAATGCGAGTGGCCAGAATGGCTCGGATGATTGTACCTTCGAATAAACCAACCTGTCTGATCCTATAATTATTCTTGGCGTCCTATTTGGTCAAGTGAAAAGTACTCGCTTAGGTAGTACTGTGCATGTACTTAAGTGGTCCCCTGCATAGTCGTTGCCACAAGATCTATATTCGAATCAAAGTCGCAAGTTGAAAGTGGATAATGCTGACTCGAGCTCTGCCCGCTGTGGATGCGTGAGTCTCCAGTTTATACACTTGGCTGAGGGGTAATGGGCCTACTGGAACAGAAAATCTCGAGAACAGACAATGCGGTTGTGTACTTTAGCCACCAGAGAGGCAGTTGGGGCCAAGAGAGGGGAAAGTCTGATCGTCCTGCAAGTCATCGCCCCTTTTTCCCGTGACATCTGTACTGTATTTGGCGTTCACTCCCGTTTATATTATTATACTTTTAATACGCGGCACAGTTCACAGTTCGCACTATATTCTTACATGTTACATACTACATACATAGAATATATAATATCTAATATCTAATATATTATATCCATGTATTATATATTACTATTACTATTTACTGTACTATATTCTACCCAAGTCCGGCCATTCCCGAGGTGGGGATGTCCGTGCAGCCGAGATACGCGTTTGTTTCACTCCACGTCCTGGCGAATCGGCCTAACACCGTGGCTAATTATTCCAATCGGTCCCCGGTTCGGCCGGAACTTATATGCAGAGTTGATCCAAGAAGGAAATTCTGCAGCTTGGAATCATACCGGGGTTTGGGAAAAGCCCGCGGAACTGCGGCCTGTGCTGGAGGGGCCTTAGCGGAGAGTTTCAATACAGACAGCGATTGCGTAGCCAGAGTTTTCGACGATCATTGTGGTCATATCCACATCGGGCCTTTTGCAGCAGGTGGGATCCTCCGTGCTCCATTCCGCTAAGGCTGGCCTTAGGTATGCCTCTCATTAGACGCCAAAGCGATACTGGCGCGAGTCTGCGGTTGTCTAAGACCGTGCTTGACTAGAGAGGAAGGAGTCGACCGTTTGTGGATGCCAATCATCAAATGTCAAAGTTGCCAGGTTGCTAACCCTGGAGGTTGCCTTGGATATATTACTAAGTTGAGCACGGCCTTGTACTCACGAGACTTGCCCTTTACACTTCACGCCACCAAGGCATTTGCTAACCTTTGCCTTTGCTAACTCTTGTTGTTATCAGGCCACCTGCGCACTTTGCCTTGAAAAGTACTGTTTTTAGGCGAGTGGCTCCACTCGAGCTTGTGTACGAACTAGGTCGCACGGGCAATTTGGCGATCGCCACTAGGATTACCGTTTTACCAGTTCAGCCCAAGTCTAAGCATTTGGCACAGGTCGTGACTTCCGACCATTTGGCATGCACGTTAAAATTAAAGAATCCATCTTGGGGGCACGCCCAGCGTTTAACTATGCCCGATACTACAGCTCGTGCGGTCGATCTATGGAGCTTTGACGATTCGGCCGTGTTGTAGTACTTTTGATCTTCGACAAGGCGCTAAAAGTATTGTCAGAAAGTGGTTATGGAGTATAGACCGTCGGGATTGTTCCACAAATCATAGCATCCCCAAAGATAAAGATCAAACACTGTACATTTACAGTGTATCCTTCGGATTTGTTCTCCTGAAGCACACAAGTACGTGGTTGCCTTTACATAGATCGACATACTAATACAGCCCAATCACATATACTTCCCCACAGCGTTTACATACTCCGTGTAGAACATAATTTATGATCTGACTGTAACATACCATGCATGGGCCATCCTCTCCACCCTTCATCTAGATCCAGGGTCTCTGACGCACGAGGCAAAACTACACCTGCAGCACACTCAAAACGACAACGGAGACTGGGGCATAGCTTTTTTAGTCTTTTCTCTTTTGGGGGTTCCCGTTTTATTTTTAATTTGGTTGTTTTATTGTTCGCATGTGCTTTTTCTACTTTTAATCGGCTTTCCCCAAAGTACTTCATTTTTCCTTTTCCCCTTTCCTTTTCTCTGGAAGCTTTGTCTCCCTGACATTCGTTTTTGCCTGGCATATTGGGTGAAGCGAATTGCCTCTGGTATCGAGTTTGGAACATGGCATTTCCGTTTCTGCGAGCCTTTGTCGCGCTATTGTGAGTATCTTCCTGTATGGGTTGGAAACTAGGCTAACGGACCAAGTGTCTATCGATACACCCGCCTCGTGCTGAACCTCTTCTCCTTCTGGACCTTTAAGCCAATTCCACCACCGGAGAACCCCAAATTGACCTCCCAAGATGTGACGGTCATTATTCCAACTTTGGAGGGCTGTGGCGATGAATTGGTGGAGACAATACGGACAATTCTCGACAATCAGCCCTTTGAATTGCTCCTGGTGACCATCGAGGCCAATCGCAAAAAGGCTGAAAGAATGTTGAGCGCAATGCCGGCGTCCAAGTCACGCATTCGCTTGTTCACGGTCATGCACCCTAATAAGCGGCGTCAGATGACCCGGGCTATCCCCGAAGTCCGAACGGCCATTACTCTCCTTGCGGATGACGATGTGAGCTGGCCCCGTACCCTGCTCCCCTGGATCTTGGCGCCCTTTGAAAAGGATGAGAAGTACGGTGGTGTGGTGACCTGTCAGCGGTTGCGCCGCGCCATTGAACCGAGCCTCTCACAGCGAGTCTGGGGCTTCCTGGGCGCGTTGTACCTGGAACGACGCAACTTTGACTGCGGCGCGACAACCCATGTGGACGGTGGCCTTCCCTGCATGTCGGGACGGACGGTTGCGTATCGGACGCGAATCCTGCAGAATGAGGGCTTCACTTATGCCTTTACGAATGAGGAATGGTGGTGGGGGAAGTACCAACTCAACGCCGACGATGATAACTTTATCACCCGTTGGATGGTCTCGCATGGATGGGAAACTTATATGCAGTACCACCCGGAGGCCGAGGTACTTACTACTCTGGAGGACAATCCCCGTTTTTTGAAGCAATGCGCCCGCTGGTCTCGAAGTAATTGGCGGAGCAATCTGACGTCCATGTTTCACGAGAAGCACATCTGGTAGTAAGTTGCACTCCGATTGGCCTCGGTGTCTATCGAGAATAAATCGTCGAAACAATGCTAATCACTTTATAGTCGTCAACCTTGGAGCGCCTATGCTGTTCACTTGACAACCTTGTCGCCGCCTGCCCTGATCGGAGACTTGTTACTTGTTTGGCTGTGCCACAAGGCCACTGGATCGTGGGGAGAGGTGTTCCATGATCGCTCCATGACTGCTCTGTATATGTGGATTTTCACTAGCAAATGGATCAAGCTACTTGGTCACTATCTTCGTTATCCCGTCGACGTCTTCTTGTTGCCAGTTTCTATCCTCTTCGGCTATTTCCACGGCGCAATCAAGATGTATGCAGTGATGACACTCAATGTGGTATGTACAGTCCAAGCGCGGCCCCCTCTCGTATTCTTCCTATAATATCTCGGCATCACAACGCTTTGATCCTCCTTCTTGCATCCTCTGCACATTGATACTGACTATTCCCTTTCTAGACTACTTGGGGTAGCCGTGACGGCGCTGATGATTACGACGCCGAGCGTATGAAGAAGCGAACGGACGCTGATCGAACTAAGCAGCCCTATTATCCGCAATATCTCATCAAATGAGTAGCCATTTGGCTTATGACGAAATGCCGTGACGACAAATTTTCTAGATGTGCAACCTTTCGTCGCACAGAGGCCTTGAAACGTCCTTTTCCCCCATGTTCTTCTTTGCACTTTTTTTTTCTTCTTTTCTGTAAATTACAAAAGCATGGGCGGATGTCGTTTTGCATGACTCTTTCTTCCATCTTTGATTCCCCTGAGCGTTGATCTTTACTTAGATGCACGGGCGGTCTTTTCGAGTCTTCTCTTGGTTTTTGCTTCACTGGTAATCTCTAATAGGGGAAAAAAACGCAATTTGTTCTGATCTTGTGTCATAGTACCTGGCTCTGATGCAATATTGCAGAAGACCTAGATCTAGAACCGTCTCATAGAGGTTCAGAGTAGAAAGAAAACAGGGTGAGATCGACATGATCACAAGAATACAGACGCATAAATTATGCGAGACAGGTAGAAGCTGTGGCGCGTGTGGCGGGCCAAGACTTCGAAAAGTTCACTCCGAACGTCAACTTTGATTCAGGAACCACCTTCTTCTCTACTTTACTTTATTGCTCGACTCTCCCAACACATCATGATTCTTCCTCGCGCTGCGCTCCCATCGCAGCTATCGGCTGTTGCTAGGCACCCCGTGACGCTATGTCGGCGCATACATTCATCTCCCTTCAGATCGGCTGTCGCACACCCAGTCACAGCTCACGGTCCTCCCCCTAAAGCTCCTGATGCCTCGCCAGAATTTAAGGAACCCGCAGGGTCAAATGCTCAAGTTGCACCCGAGGTCGAATTAAAACGGACCCCCAAGCTTACTGCCGCGCTCAAGAAGCGGTTTTGGAAGGACGTCCATGTGAACGGAAAGTCAGGTATGGATAACTGAAGCAGTTGTCCTTGCTAGTCTTACTCGCTAACACACGTTCTGCTGTTCAGATGAATACGAAGTCCTGCTTGACAAGCGACCCGTGAGAACACCCACGAAAGAAGTGCTCTCAATTCCTCCTACAAAGCCTCACCTCGCCCATGCCATTGCCCTCGAGTGGGATGTGATGACCTCCGCCCAACAGGCCCTTAAAAGCCATCTCATCCCCATGACATCCCTCGCAGCCCGTGCGACCGATATCGCCCGCGAAGATGCCCAGGGCGTGGATACTACCCGAAGCCAAATCATCACAACTGCCATGCGCTATCTAGACACCGATACCCTGCTCTGCTGGGAGCCCGAGCGGGAAACTCACTGGTTGGAGCGCACATCAGGCGAGGGTGATGGGCCTACCGAGAGCCTACGGGATATTCAAATGCGCGTTGCTAAGGATATCATGGCCTTCTTGTCAACGAAGGTCTGGCCCGGTCTGGAAATTGTTCCTATTCTCGACTCTGAGAGCATCCTCCCTCTCTCCCAACCTAAGGCTACGAAGGAGAGTATTTGCACTTGGGTTTCGGAGCTGTCTGCCCATGACCTGGCTGGTCTTGAGCGTGGTATCCTTGCATCGAAGAGTCTTCTCATTGCGGTTCGTCTGCTGACGGAGTGGAGTGAGAACTTCCGCCATCTTCAGCGCCACGACGCGAACAAGTTCGGCATTGAGGAGGCAGCTGAGGCAGCAAACTTGGAGGTAAAGTGGCAGACCGATATGTGGGGTGAAGTTGAGGATACCCACGATGTCGGAAGGGAGGACCTGAAGCGACAATTGGGCAGTGTTATTGTGTTGGTCAGCGGAGAGACTCGATAAGCATGAGGATTATACTGTACGATACATCTAGACCGTGGGCCTTGCTTTATGCAAGTGTATATACAATGAATATACTCCCTTTGGGGACAATGTTAGGCGGATCCTAATTATAAATTCGCGATCGCGATCGCGATTGAGGGCATCCTCATGTTGCCAAGGCGGAGATCAGCGTCATTTGCCCCCCAAAACAAAGCCCAAAGCGCCCCCCGAATTTCCTCCCGAACCCATTACCTTCAAGATACTCGCTGATGTACTGGGAATAGTTCAACATGTCTGACCGACCCGAAGGGTGAGTTCCCATGCCTAATCCATGGTAATCCATGGTGACTGTGGCAGAAGCGATGTCATCAGTGGCTTTCATGTCTTCACCTGGGCCTCTGGGAATCCTCGAGCCCCTGCCCCGTTGCATCATACCTTTACATGTGATACTAATATGCCACCTTCCTTCAGGCACAAGCGCTCTCGAAGTGCCATAGCACTTGCCCTCCTTCACCGCGATAAATCCAAAGGTGAAGACAAGGAGATGGACGACGATAACAACTCGGTTACTTCTGCCTCCTCGAATGGCCCCTCCTTGAAACACACCCGCAGTAGCAGCCGTCGCAAACAAGTCCAAGACCCGAGTCCTCCCCCGCCCATTCAAGAATCCACCGAAGATATGGACACAGTGGAAGGTCTACCTTCCTTGACCCAGATGGAAAGTGGCAGCATGTCTCTCGAGCAGTCGGTTCGCACCTTTCGTCTCTTCGAGATCCTGCGCAGCGGGGATACCACTGCTATCTCCAAGGCTATCAACGATACTAAGGACGCGCAGGGCGCGAGTGGTCTAAACGGAACCACCGTCCTCCACCTGGCTTTGCAATGCGCCGAGCCACAGGTCGTGGAATATGTGCTGTCCGCCGCGGAGGGTTTGGATATCAACTCGCGAGACCGCGAGGGAAACACCCCACTCCACATTGCTGCCCAGCTGGGCCGGGGCCCTCTGGTTCGCGAATTGCTGAATAGGCCGCTCATCAATGATTCCATTGTCAACTATCGGGGTCAGACGGCGCTGGATATGGCTCGTACCCCTGAAATCTTCCAGCAGCTTCAGCTTGCCCGGTCTCTCTTTATCGATAGCAAGAACCAGGAAATTCAGTCCTTGATTGCGAACGCTGATTACAAGAATCTGGAAGCTCTACTGGAGGAACCTCGCGTCGAGGGTATTATGGATGTGAACAGCCAAGAGCTGGTTACCGAACGAACCACTGCTCAGTCTGGTGGTACGCTACTGCACGAGGGTGCTAGGAATAAGGATGCGCAGCTTATTGAGATTCTTCTGACGCATGGCGCTGATCCTTTCCGCCGTGATAAGAAGGGGAAGCTTCCACAGGATGTCACTAAAGACGATAAGACTCGCGCGCTCTTGAAGAGATCCCCGGCTGCTGTTATTGCTCAGCGCGGTATCCAAGAGAAGGCTATTCTTGGAAATAGCAATGCCCAGGGACTTGCCGGCCGTGCCTCTATTGCCGATGCGCCATTGGCAGGCAAGGACGCCCGCGAGATGAGAGGATATCTTAAAAAATGGACCAATTATACTACTGGGTACAAGTTACGCTGGTTTGTTCTTGAAGATGGAGTTTTGAGTTATTACAAGCACCAAGGTAAGTTGTCAGGTCTCTTGGCTGGATTTTTTTTCTTATGCGAATCATACTGATTTGCTTGAAAACAGATGACGCGGGATCTGCCTGTCGCGGTGCGATCAATATGAAGATTGCCAGACTTAATATGGATGCACAAGACAAGACGCGCTTTGAGATTCACGGCAAATCATCAGTCAAATATCACCTCAAGGCGAACCATGTTGTCGAGGCAAAACGCTGGTTCTGGTCTCTCAACAATGCCATCCAGTGGGCCAAGGATGAGGCCAAAGAGGAAGAGCGACAGCGGTCGAAGAATGCAGATCTCCTTCGCCAAGCTAAAATTGACCAGACTGAAGGACGTGTTGCAGACGCACCATCTGAATCTGGCCTCTCTCACAAGCCCAGCACCAAGGGTCTAGCTCCACCATCTCTGGGAGGTGCTAGCAGCAGTGGCACGAGGTTGAGCACATATGCCTCTCGCACCACTCTCGACATTCCGGGTGGAGACGAAGATAGTTCCGTCTACGGTGGCTCTTACGACCAGAGCGCCCCCAATGACATGAACAGATCCATCAGCCATGTAACGACTGGACCTGAAGGAGACGACGACGAAGAATTTGTTGACTACGCTTCAAGCCACGACAATGAAATGCCCGCCGCTGATAAGGATGCTCTTAATATCACCGCACAGTCCGCGAAACTGCAATTGGATCTTCTTGCAAATGTGGCTGCTTCTTTGCAGTCTGAAAAGGCGAAGAACCCGGAAATGACCATTGCGGATCCTGCCCTCGAGCAGGCTCTCGGTGCCTATGAAGCTGCAGTCAGCAGCCTCAAGGGCTTGGTGCAGAACCTTCTCAAAATCTCACGGGACCGAGACTCATACTGGCAATCTCGTCTCAGCAGAGAGGAGTCCATTCGTCAGATGTGGGAAGAGAGCATGGCTCGTGTAGCTCGCGAACATGAGGAGCTCCAATCCAAAATGGGTGAGTCAGAAGAGAAGCGAAAGCGGACCAAGCGAGCTCTGAAGGAGGCCTTGGAGAGTGCAACGGGCAGCAGTCGTTCCATCAGTGGGCCTTCCCGTGTTCCAACAGAAGGCCCGAGTCTGGAAGCAAGCCAAATCGAGGCCGGTGTTCCAGAAAAGGCTGAAGAAGAACGAACTGCTGAGCAGCCACAAACCAAGCCCACCCTCAGTAGGAAGCCATCCAAGCTCAGCAGTCTTTACGATTCAGAGTCGGATGGCGAAGAATTCTTCGATGCTATCGAAGCTGGTGAGATTGAGGTAGAGGATTTTAACAAGACCGAGGACCACAAGGTGGAAGAGCCCAAAGATGAGAGCGCCAAGCTCCGGGCTGTCAAGTCTTCTGTCATCAAACCTTCCTTCAGGGGTTATGAAGAACCCGTGAGAGAGCGTCTCAAGATGGATGCCGACGACCGGCCAAAGATTTCTCTGTGGGTAAGTATAGAGCGCTATCCCCTTTTTACATAGCAAGCTTACCATTCATTGTCTAGGGTATCTTGAAATCCATGATTGGAAAGGACATGACGAAGATGACTCTTCCGGTGTCTTTCAACGAACCAACCTCTCTGCTCCAGCGTGTGGCTGAGGATCTCGAGTACACTGACCTTCTCGATATTGCTGCGGATCGGACCGACTCCATGGAACGTCTGGTCTATGTTGCCTCGTATGCCGCCAGTGAGTATGCCTCCACCATTGGTCGTGTGGCGAAGCCCTTCAACCCTCTGCTTGGCGAAACCTTTGAGTATGTTCGCCCGGACAAGGGTTATCGATTCTTCGTGGAGCAGGTTAGCCACCACCCACCGATTGGTGCTGCGTGGGCTGAGTCGCCCAAATGGGACTACTGGGTAAGTGTGCTCTTATATACACGTATCACGGAAACTTATTAACCACATGTATAGGGTGAATCCTCCCTCAAGTCCAAGTTCTACGGTAAATCCTTTGATATCAATCTGCTTGGTACATGGTTCTTGAAGCTGCGACCTTCCTCCGGTGGAGAAGAACTCTACACTTGGAAGAAGGTGACTTCATCTGTCATCGGTATCATCACGGGCAACCCTACAGTTGACAACTACGGTCTGATGGAGATCAAGAACTGGACCACCGGCGAGGTCTGCTATCTCGACTTCAAACCCCGCGGCTGGAAGGCTTCATCGGCCTACCAGGTCACGGGTAAGGTTGTCGACAGTGAGGGCTCCCCCAAGTGGAGTATCGGAGGTCGCTGGAACGACAAGATCTACGCTCGCCACACTCCAGGCTTTGAAGCTCCGGTCTCCGGCCAGGATCCGGAGTCTGCTAAGACTTTCTTGGTTTGGCAGGCTCATGCTCGTCCCACGGGCGTGCCTTTCAACTTAACTCCATTCGTCATCACTCTCAACGCTCTTCCTGAGGGTTTGAAGGATTGGCTCCCTCCTACGGATACCAGACTGCGTCCTGATCAGCGTGCCATGGAGGACGGTGAATATACATTGGCTGCTGATGAGAAGCATCGTGTTGAGGAGAAGCAGCGAGCTAGGCGCAGGGATCGCGAGACCAAGGGTGAAATCTACTCGCCGCAATGGTTCACCCGTGACCGGTGTCCTGTCACTGGTGAAGAATTCTGGGCTCACAATGGGAAGTATTGGGAGTCCAGGGATGCTCAGGATTGGAGTAGATCCGAGGATATTTTCTGAAGGGCGACCAAGCAATGACGGATGCTTGGGACATTTTTGCTTCGGATTTTATTTGCGAACAGGATCCTCTAAGAGGTTGCTAAGACCATTCACCTCGTCCCTTTGTTTTGTACAAGAGTTTCAATTGCCATGAATAAAATGTACAAGTTCTCTATCTCTTGATCGTATGATTGGGTGGTTGTAGGATTACAGCCATTGCTCTCGCTAGGAGCTTATATTTGGCTCATGAAACGAGTACTAAATATTACACACAGTTCGCTGTTCGATTACCTACAAATGGACCGTATTTCATCAGAACTTTTCATCTAAATAAGTTAATGTTTTTGGAGTGAGCCATCGTCTATCAATTGTTATCAGTCACGTGTCACCTAAAAACATCCCCAGAGCAATCTGGGTGGGCTCACTCGTTCCCCTCTACACTCAATTGACACCACAATGGCAGGATACACTTGTATCCAGTGCCTCCAGGTCCTTCGTCAAGGAGCCCGGGCAACATCCTCTCAGGCTCGCCTCCAGAGCCTCGCTACTTCACGGCGGAGAAGCGCAGTCTCCCCATCTCTGATCCGAAGCTTCGGTTCGCATCGTAATGGCCGATCGCTAGGCACCAACCCAGCAGAGCAGACCAAGCCCGTTTCTGGGCAGACCTGCTGTGCTCCTAGGCCATCACCTTCGACTATCACGCAGAGGGGT